TTTCATAAAATAAGGAGTAACTAAATAATTATCTTACATATTAAGAAAACATCTAAAAATTGTTAAGTATGGACTTTGTTACCTATTTACATATTGTTTTATAAATGTGATCAAATTATTTCTTCATAGGTTATCGTTAATTCTTCATAAAATTTCTATCAAAAAGAACTTTTTGATTAATTTCCAACAAAAATATATTCCAATGGAATTCCAACGCAATTCAGATGTCATTTTATCCTCAGGAATTTTCCAATAGATTCCAACAAAATTCCAATGAAAATATTTCGTTAGAATGAGTTTTTCTCTGGAATTTTGGTCTTTAATGGAAATTCCTACGGTAATAAACAATTGGAAAAATGGTCGTCGGAGTCATCAAGTTCCAACTAAAATTTCAATAAAAAAAACTCATTCCAATGAAATATTTTCGTTAGAATTTGGCAATAAAATCTATACAATTGGAAACTCTGTTGGAATTTTCATTGAAATATACTATTAGAATAATATAATCTTTTATAGTGGTAAATGTCACATTTATTATATTCTTTACAAAAAAAAAAAAAATAAATAAACGCTAACAAGTGCATGGAAAGAAATATATGTAATTTGACTAATTTCTAAGTGCGCAATTAGCTCTCACCTCAATATTATCAATATAATTAAATAATACAAATCAATCATCATTTCACCTCACATCAAATTAATTCACTATTTATCTACTCATATATTTCTAACTATCTACCATTTTCAATAACATTTATCTTCCTTTTAAATCACATCAACTTTAATGATTACATTTTAAATATTAATATAATATCAACTCAAAATCCACTTAACCACCCACCCAATCAACTTTATTCAAAATTAACTCACTTTAACTCACCAATCCAATCAAAATCGGTTTTATTTATATCCAATCGCGTGATATTTAAAATTAAATTTGACACATACTAAATATGAAGAAGCTATTTACGATAATATGATATGATTATTTAAGAGCATCTCCAATGCTCTAATGTTGTTATAGATTTTTTTTTTACAAATGTCAAAGAATTAAGTAGAATATGAACCATGTAGGACAAATGTTGAGTTCACCACTATTAAATTAAAAAATCATTTTCAATGTACAATGTTGCCTAATTACAATATTATCTACTTGCTAAATAGTACAATTTTAATATGAATTAATAAAATTAATTAAATAATTAAATAGTTTGAAAATGGTAATAATAACTCTCTTTTCTTCTCATTGGCTAACCAGAGTGTGGAGTAGAATGTGGATGAACGACATACTTCTCTACATTGTAGACATTAATTATGTCCACACCATCACAACATATGTGATCACATTGTACATTAGAGGATGGAAAATTGTGATATTAATAAATGTGTTGATGTGGAATATAATTTATCACTACAATATTGATTATTGGAGATGCTCTAATGGTGCATTAATACATTTTGTGTCATACAAAATCAATGCAATATTTGAGGATTTTAAGATTTTTTTTTCCGCTTTTTATGATTTCGAGATCAAGAAATAAGTATGTTTAACGAAATAATGAAAATTCAAATTGTTGGCTAAATTGATTAATGTAAATGGCATCGTTGGTTATATACACCAAAATTGTTGGTGTGTTAAAATTGTTTAAGAAGATTTAAACACCAGCAGGCGCTTTTATTTATATACTTTTTTCTTAATTTAGGCATCAAAATTTGAGATTTAAGAGTAGTATTGGATATATTTTTATTTAAATGACGACTTTTTGGCTGGAGAAAGATGATTAATTGTCACGTGATAAGAAATTAGTAACAAAATAATTAGTAGTTACATATATGAGTTTTTTGACTATAAGAAAATAGTAACAAAATAATTAGTAGTTACATATATGAGTTTTTTGAATATAAAATTCAACAAAGAAATGTATTTGTAGTGATTGATTTATAACTTAGAAAATTGTATTGAGGAAATCGAGAAAGAAAGAAAAGTCAGAATTGACTTTTTTTTTGTGGATGAATAAATAAATCTATATATATATATATAAAAAAAGGCAACCCATTTACCAAAAATGGTAGCAAAAAAATAGGTTAGCATTTAATGCAACTTATAAATAGTAAGTTTCATTAATTTTATTATTATTTTCTTTAAAAATAATACAACATTAAATGTTACCTTAAATTTTGGGATTTAGTTCATTTTATTATTTAAAAAAATTGGATAAGATCTTTTAAGTGTGCATGTTTTTTATTTATTTATTTTTCCTTAGAAACAAGTAACAACATTAAAATTTTGGTCTCTATATTTATAAAATCTCAATTCAAAATATAACAAATATTTTAGAATCTCGGTCTTTATATTTGTGCCTTTCAAAACAAATATTGAACACTAAAAATATTCTTTAAATTGATAATCAATCAATCAATATTAATTTTTTGAAAATCATTATGTTTATTTTTTTATTAATATGCATAGTAAAAATAATTAATTCATCTTTAGATATATAATTTATAATCTTAATATACAATCATTTGGTGTATACATTTATTATATCAATCATAAAATATTTTTATTTCATAAAATTAAATATATTTACAATAAATAAGGAAATTTCTTTGGATCAATCGGGTGATTGAATTAGGATACTGCCCAGGTTGATTAAATTACTTTTAGGTGATATTTAAAATAGTTACAAAACTTGACACAACTTGGTTAGTCCCAGGTGACTAAGTTATGTATCAGTTTGACAAGAACAAATCGATTATTAAACCTAAATATAAATTATAATATTAAAAATACTTTATTACATGAACATGATGCAATCCAAACTTCAAATAATCATATTAACAATACTTTTATGACAACGTGTTTATTAATTTATAAATATTTATATATCATTTTAGTAATATTTATGTGAATAACATAATATTTTATTATATTTTGTAATAATGTACAGTAAATAAAAGTTTTCAGAACCCGGCTGTCATCGAAACGATCAAGTTATTGTATTAAATCACTTGTGGTTTCTTTAAATTTTAATTTATAAACATTTTAATATACATATATAGGATTTTTTGTAATGAATTTAAATTAAATGTGTTACTTAAATATCTAAACAAAATTATAAATTCAAATGTTTAAACTAATGAATAAACAACTTATAAATCTCTATTTTATTTAAATATGTAATTTTATTTTCACTAATTTTTAATGTAGTAAAATTTATTTAGAAAATCGATTGATCCTACCAGTCCAATCGACTGGTGTTGACGGTTCAATAGCAAATATGGTATTCAAGCAAATTATAAACCGGTTTTTTGTCCATCCTGTGTCCAACCCCGTTTAATTTAAAAAAATGGGTAGATCATGATCAATGCTATTTATATATTTAATTTATAATATAATCTTAATATTATTTTCCCCACGGGCCACGCACTAGTTCAGATATATATAGTTATATACAATTCATACGTTGGAAAGTTTACCAGCACAAATTCTTAAGCTTGCTCAATTTCAATCATAATTTTGATTAAATTGAAAAGATAAGGCCATGTAAAATAGAGCAATTTTTACTTTAATATACTAATATTTGTCAATTTTATGAATTTTGATGGTCAAAATTATTGTGAAAACTTTGAAAAAGAATAATGATGTTTTATTGATTGTTTTTGTCAATCAATTATCATTAATTTGCAAATCTTTGTAAAAGAGTGACATTTTAATTTTACTAAGTTTTTTAAATTTTAGAGTATTTTATATGTCCCACAAAATGTTTAACCGCGCAATGCACAACCAGAACCAGTCTAGCTAGTTCACAAGAATTTTGGATCTTCCTTATAAAAACCTTTTGCCTAATCACCCAAAAGAAAACAGAGGAGAAAGAGTTATCTTTTAAATCTCCCTAATATCCTTTGCATGCACCCATTTTACATATTGGACTTCCTGGGGTCGTCTCCTAAATCAACACATGCCCCAAGGGAGGATTATTCTTAAGAACTTCAAGTGGCAACTGAAATTCTGAAAGATAACTGAACTTTCCATGATTTTTCCTTTAGTTATTTCCTAAAAATTCCAAAATGGTAGTCTATCCCACGAAGATCAAAACATATTCTCTCAGTACACCATTTTTGGGTACTTACAAAGAAGAAAACCAGATAAACAAAATCAGAGTAGGGAGCAGCAAAGGAAAAGAGTTCTCTTTCAGATGAGAATATCTAAAACAGAGTAAGAGTAACAAACCAGGGTAATGGTATTACCTCTAATGCTTCAACCACCATCTTTTGGTTACCCTTGAAGGCAAGTCCCAGCTCCTTCTTGACAGGAGCTATGACAAGTTTCTGAGAAAGAACAAAACAACATCAGAGGAAGTGTTGATTACTACATATCAAGAATAGAGCTACATATTTATGATATATCAACATTCCACTATCACCAACACCACCAAAAATTTGAAGTCATGAGACAAGTTTAAATCAATAAGAGGGTACATGCCCATAGTGAAATGGAATAAACTAAGGGAGACAGGAAGAAAGCAAGGATGAGTGACCTCCACTTCTTTGGGTTCGGCATATTTTTCATGTGCCACCAATGGTATACCACTTTTATCCTGTAAAGTTAAACATTATCATCATCAGTCACACTAGCAGCATATCAAAACTCAAAACAAAGCAGATCTACTGAAAAGGGGAAACTGAGTGACTGTCATTTTCTATTTATTATTTTAATTTTTTGTAGGAAAAATAAATATATTACATTAATCCCATGGATTATGGAGTTTTTGCATTTCGCGCATTAAACATTTATTTGTTGCACGTTAATCTCTGAACTAGGTGTTTTTCCTCACTTTCCCACCCGAGCAATCTCATGTTAAATATCATTCATCATGTGCCATGAATAGCAGATGCATTACAGTCATTAATCCAGGCCACAACAACAACAACAACAACAACAACATAGCCTTTTAGTCAAATAAAACCAGGTTACAAAATCAAATAAAATACACATAGTTCAGGCAATAAAGTGAAACAAGTGGAAAAGGACAACTGCCAAATAAAACCCTAGTTTAGGGCATTCTGTGTAATTTACTAAAATAGACTAGCACCAAGAAAATTCAGATTTCAAGAGACCCTTACTGTGTGAGCACGCAAATCGAACGCCGATCTATCAGCTATACCAACACACTCGATCCATCCATATGAGCATTCAATTTCAGCATCCCAACAGTCGGCAGCGTAGTGTGCCATCTCATTGGCCAAATGCTGACGGAAACGAAGGCGGTCTTTATCAATTCCAAGTTGGGTTAGAAACAAGTACACTCTCCCTATGAAATAGCCGAGTGTTTCATTGTTGACAATACCCTGGACCATTCAGGTAGAGGGATTAGAGTTAGCAGATAATCATTTTGGACACAAGAGTAAAAGAAGCAAAAATGATTGGAAGTTTTCTAATAAACCAACCTGAGAAACTGCTTCCTCTATTACAATTCTCCTGGCTTGTTTTCCAGACACCTGGTCTTCCCTCGGGAACATTAGAAACTCCAGTTTTGAGACTTCAGAGAATTTGGGATGCGACTTGTCTTCAGGATCCACAAAATGCTCAATCTCAGCCAGCGTGAATTCACGGACCCTTAAGAGACCTTGGCGTGGAGAGATCTGGAAATTTGATGCATGTGATGTTAAGCAAACAAGTGTTTTAGTTTTAAGAAAAAAATGAACCATAAAGAAAGTATGAGTTCTGTAGCATGTAGATAAACAGTGAGCTTATGGATTTGCAAACACTTTAGCAACTAACTTTCAATTAACTGGATTGACAAGCTAATGTGCATCCAAAACCTGACATGTTGAAATTTCATTTCTGCCTTCAGTTAGTCACTTGTCATAAACCTGACTGACCTTGTGGGCACTAAATGCGCACAAGATAATAAGTGATTGCAACATGCTATGAGATCAGACCAATTATAAAGAGATATAAGAGAGGAAACAGAACACATTATTAAGCTGTAGAAGTTACTTTAGGTATCATGTTTGCAATCGCACAAAAAAAAAA